CTGTAATAAGGATTGAAATAGGAGTTTGGGGTTGTGGTGGTGCAGACCCCTCCCTGGGCTGCATTAGGATGTCAGCACCAGCCAACATTGTTCTTGTTTTAATTGCAAGTGCAGTGAGCTGGGACAATCTGGCACTTTCTGATCTCCTCTACTGTTGAAATAATCCAGTACCTTCTTGTCCTGGGTACAAGTACAGTGCGTTGGGTGGATTAGGTTCTCCCTAACCGCACCTGGAACTCCTGTTGCCTGCGAAATACACCTGAGACCCCTCCTGCCTGGATTGCAGCCCACTCTGAATGTTGCTGAGATTACGTGACAAGAATTATGGCCACAATGAAAAAAGTACTGACCAAAGTCGATCATCTTATGATCCTATAAATACTGATCCTAAGAGAGGTCTTTAGAGCTCTCCAGAATCCCAGCAGACTGTTACCCTGTAGTCCTTCCCCCTGTTTTCCCTGTGTTGGGATGCTTCTCGGCAAATTTTTTGTCAGATCATCCACTAACAGAAGCTGACAATGGGAAGGTACTGTCTGCTAATAAAAGCTGATGAAGATACAGAATTGTCTGCTAACAGAAGCCAACAAAGGTTTGAAAGAGTGAGTAATTCATCATATTTCAATTTCGCAACATTTTAAAGATAATTAGATACCAAAACTTATCATAAGCTGCAGAGAAAGAAACATCTTGATCATAGATTAACCTTTATATCTGTGTATGTGTGTATGTTTAAAATTTTGTTGAATCTTTAACTAAGTCTCTGTATTAATCATAGCAGATGGTTGATTGTTGACTGATTAAGTGTTGTTAGAAAAATCATACATTTTAATTTTCTAATTTATTGTAATAGTGCTAATGAATCTTAAATTGCAGCTACCTCAAACTCACATAGGACCCACAACAATGTGTTAAAGCACTACCACTGAAATGCCTGTACCTAATTCCTTTAGACATAAACCATTGAAAATGTTTGGGAGTAGGGAGTGGATTCAGCTGGACCTATACTCCTCTCTGAGAAGGAGTTTAGAAAGCAATTCTGAATTCATTCTGCACCTCGTGACTCAACAGGAGGTTTTCCTCACCCCTTGATTAGACATCAACCATTGGCCGAATCTGGGACTAAGTCTGGATCTAGTCACACCTGGACTCCAGTCTGACAAGGAGTTTAGAAAGCAAGGAGGTCCATTCTGAACCATGTGACTCAACGGGAGGGCCTGCCTCATTCTTTTCTCCTGATCTCCGTGCTGATCATTCCAGCCCGATTCTGTCTTGATTTCCTCAAATCTTTGTATAAATAATTTCCCCTGATCCCTCTGTAAATCATTTTTATTCAGATTCTGATTCGATTTCCCTTTTGTATACTCCTATATAGTGTCGTGGTTTAACGTGGCTGAAACCAGAACAGTGATAGAGTGAACCTAGACAGTGAACTCCGTTATGTTGTACTTTCACAAATTCATATTAAAATCACATTTGTTAATATCTTTGATGAGGATCCTTTAAGCTACCTAAATCACTCTTTTCCGTGACAGGAATGCAACAGACATTCTATGGAAAAGCATTAGCTTTCTAGCACTGTTAAACTTTCAGATGTCTGACCTTCTATGAGATGAGCAAGAACCCAGATGTTGATTTTAAAAGAAGCCATTTGTGAATTTCTCAGCATTGTATTTAAAATGTCCAGGAGGAATGAATCCTGCATTTTAGGTGTCCAGTGTGATAGATATATATCATTTATATTTATTCTGTTTTAGGTATGTTCAGAAATGTGATGGAAACAGAAAACAAGACAGAAGTAACAGAATTTGTGCTACTGGGATTGTCTCAGATGCATGAAGTACAACTCTTCCTCTTTTTCCTTTTCCTCCTTTTCTATGTCATTGTCCTTCCAGTAAACATTCTCATCATCCTCACAGTCAGGGGAGATCCACAATTGGACTCTCCAATGTACTTTTTCCTAGCTAATCTAGCTTTCTTGGATATCTGTTACTGTTCTGTTACTCCACCTAAGTTGCTGGCTGATTTCTTTTCACAGCAGAAGACCATCTCTTCTAGAAGCTGCATAGCACAACTCTTCTTCCTTCACTTCCTGGGTGGAGCTGAGATCTTCTTGCTCATAACTATGGCCTTTGACAGATACGTGGCTATCTGTAAGCCTCTTCATTATGCAACCTTAATGAGGAAAATGCTCTGTTGGGGCTTGGTGGGGACAGCATGGGCTGGAGGATTCACACATTCAATCATCCAGGTTGCATTTGTTGTTCATCTTCCCTTCTGTGGCCCAAATGAGCTAGACAACTTTTTTTGTGATGTTACACAAGTAATTAAGTTAGCGTGTACCAACACTTACGTACTGGAGTTCATTGTGTTTGTTAACAGTGGCCTAGTCGTCTTTATATGTTTCGTTCTTCTGCTGATTTCCTACAGTGTCCTACTAACCCATCTGAAAACAGGCATGTCCAGAGGGAAGAGCAGAGCAGCATCTACCTGTACCACCCACATCATTATTGTCTTTATTATGTTTGGACCAGCTATATATATCTACTGCTGGCCTTTCTGCCGCTTGCCCCTGGACAAGGTGGTGGCTGTGTTCCACACCATGGTTTTTCCTCTCATGAACCCCATGATCTACACCTTGAGGAACAGAGAGATCCTCAGTGCCATGAAGTGTTTGTTGGTGCAGTACTTTCTGCAGCAAAGAAAATAGAAGGTAAATACATTCATAAAGGACAGAGTTATAGTATATTTTTGTGGAACAGTTTTCAAGAGCGATTCATAGGTCTTTCAATGGTCCAGCATATCAATGTGGAGTTATTTTGACAGAACACGGATTCAACATCTACAAAATCGTGAAAATATAAGTAACGTCTTGGAAAAGCTACAAAAAAGCTTATTTCTTACAGACAAATATTGAACATCATTATCTTGCTTTGTAAGGACTAAATATTTGCAACACAGTGAGTGAGAGCATGAACAAAATAACTCAACAGTATGTGTATAAATATCTTTTAGCAATTGTACAACATCTTTTGGTGACTAACAGTTTAACGAGCCACACAGATGCTTAACTACCTCTGGAAGATCTTTGTAAATAAATGGGTGCAAATAAAAGGTAATTGAACAGCAACACCGTTGTAGGTATGGCTCATTATGTTATATTGAAGCAATGCGCACAACTTTCTTTGGGTTACAAAGATTTTGTCTCAGGTGGCAAGGAAGTTGTTTGATTCTTCAACAGAAATTTCCTGAGCGTAAGCTCTATAATGATGAAGTAAGGAGAGAGAGCAGATTTTAAAGATCTTTGAAAGTCGTATCTTGACTAATTCCTGAATTGAGTTCTTGGGACGTGAGTGGAAGAGAATCAAGGTTATATTTCAGATGGACTCAAATACCAGGAACCTTGAGTAATCAGTATAGTGGGACTGAAACTACTTTCTTCATTCCAACAAGAAATTATTGGGTAATACAATGTAATCACCATGTCCTGGATAGCCTTGGAGCTATAGAACTTGGGATTTTTATTTTTTTTCTGTAAGGTTTCCCTCAGTAAGAGGGTTATAAACCCAGGTTAAGCTAGAAATTGAGACAGATTTCAAGGTAAACTCAAAGATCTGACTATTACTATGCAATGAGGAAAGCACTTGGAAGGTGTCAGTTTTCACATAGATCTTGTGTCGTGGTTTAGCCCAGCCAGCAGCTAAGCTACCACTCAGTTGCTTGCTCACTCCTCCCCCTCGTTGGGGGTGAAGAGAAGAAAAATGTAACAAAAAGCCTGAGGGTTGATATAAGAACAGGTCGATATATCACCCACCAGCCATGGTTCCAGGCAAAACAGACTCGGCTTGAGGTCAAATCAATTTAATTCATTGCTACTTGAGAAGATAAGGAGAAACAAAGCCAGATCTTAAAAATACCTTCCCCTCACCTCTCCCTTCTTCCAGGCTCTGCCTCCTCCCCTACAGTGGTGCAGGTGGACAGGGAATCTAGGGGGTTTGCAGGTCAGTTCATCACGCGCTGTTTCTGCCACTCCTTCCTTAAAGGGAGAAGACTCCTCACACTCCTGCTCCAATGTGAGGCCCCTCCTCATGGGAAAATAGTCCACAAACTTCTGCAACATGAGTCCTTCCCGCAGGATGCATTCCTTACCCATCAGATTGCTCCAGAGTGGGCTTCTTCCCCACAAAGCCACAGCTTCTTAGGATGCAGCCACCTGTTCCAGCGTGGGGTCCTCCATGGACTTCAGATGCATCTCTGCTTCATTGTCAGTCTCCAGCAGCATGGGGCGTCCATCCCATGGAGACAATCCTCTACAAACTCCCTTATACGCAAGCATCTTGGCTCCTGCACGTGGTTCTTCATGGGCTGCGGGTGAATCTCTGCTCCATTGTTTCTCTCATGGTTGCAGGAGGCCTCCTGTCATCTCATCATGGGCTGCAGGGGAATCTCAGCTCCGGCACACCTCCTCCCACTCCATCTTCACTGACCTTGGTGTCTGCATAGTTGTTTCTCTCAGATCTCAATCCTCTCTCTGCTGCAGCCACATTGGGCCTGAGTGGCCCCGTGAACCTCGGCAGTCCTGGCAGGATGAACTCCACCCAACGTCCCAGAAGTGGAGTGCCGCAGAGCTCTCCAAGCCGTGCTGCTGCAGCCCCCTCCAGGCAAGTGGCGGCAGCCCAGCGTGGGTAGCCATCTGCCTGGGAGACCGGGTGGGAGGGACCAGCCTTCATCTCCCCACTCTCTTCACTGCAGGTCCTGCCTGGTTTGAGTTCTTCTGTCCCCTTCTGAAATATGGCGTTTGCAGAGGCGCTGATTGACTCGGCCCTGGCCAGAGGGGAGGCGGGTCCGACCTGGCCTGAGACTGGTCCAATCAATTTTGGAGCCAGGGAAGCTTCTCGCATCTTACAGGGGCCATCTCTGCAGCCTGTCCCTTGCTACCAAAGCCCCACCGCATAAACCCAGCACATCTAATTCTCCTTGGACTCAAGAGCTGAATTCAGTACATGGATGGTGAAAGCAACACCACAGTGAACAAATTCCCACTCTTTGGCCTCACTGGATCTGCAACTCTCTGGCCCTTCCTTCCTCTTCATCACCTTCAATGCCATTTATGGAGCAATAGTGGTGAGAAACTTCATCATCATGGTGCTGCTTATCTGTGAGCCCAGACTTCAAACATCCATGTATATTTTGCTGGGAAATTTCTTCTTTTCTGGATTGCTGTTACTCCTCTATGGCTGCCCCCAAGAGGTTAACTGGCTTCCTCCTTCCCCACCACAGACAATCTCTTTTGTGGGCTGCATGGTCCAAATTTTCTTTTTCCACTTCACCAGAGGAATTAAAATCTTTCTCCTTACTGTCATAGTCTACGATCATTACGTGGCTATCTTCCATACACTTCGTTACATGATTGTGATTAATCAGATGGTGTGTGAATGGCTACTAGTAACATGTTTGGTAGGGGGCTTCCTTTACTCTGTTATCCAAGTGGCCATCATTGTTCAGCTCTCATTCTGTGGTCCTAAAGAGCTGGACAAGTTTTACTGTGATGTACCTCAAGTAGTCAAATTGGTCTGCACAGACACCATCGTGATGGAGCTGTTGATGATATCCAGTAATGGCCTAGTAACCGTTCTTTGCTTTACTGTATTAGTCATTTCTTTGTTGGTGACATGGACAGTGAAATTGAATGCAATCCAGAGGGACCTTGACAGGCTTGAGTAGTGGGCCTGTGTGAACCTCATGACATTCAACAAAACTAAGTGCAACATCACGCATGTGGGTCAGGGCAATCCCAAGCACAAGTACAGGCTGGGCAGAGAATGGATTGAGAGCAGCCCTGAGAAAAAGGACTTGGGAGTGCTGGTGGGTTAGAAGCTCAACATTAGCCAGCAACGTGCACTGGCAGCTCAGAAAGCCAACCATATCCTGGGCTGCATCCAAAGAAGTGTGGCCAGCGGGTCAAGGGAGGGGTTTCTGCCCCTCTACTCAGCTCTCATAAGACCCCACCTGGAATACTGCGTTCAGCTCTGGAGTCCCCAACACAAAAAGGACATGGAGCTGCTGGTGAAGGTCCAGAGAAGGGCCACAAAGATGATCTGAGGGGTGGAGCACCTCTGCTATGAAGACAGGCTGAGAGAGTTGGGGTTATCCAGCCTGGAGAAAAGGAGGCTCCAGGAAGATCTTAGAGCAACCTTCCAATACTTAAAGGGGGCCTACAAAAAAGGGGTAGAGGGACTTTTTGCAATGGCATGTAGTGACAGGACAAGGAGCAATGGCTTTAAACCGAAAGAGGGTAAATTTAGATTAGATAGAAGGACGAAATTCTTCTCTCTGAGGGTGGTGGGGCACTGGAACATGTTGCCCAGAGAAGCTGTGGCTGCCCCATCTCTGGAAGTGTTCAAGGCCAGGTTGCATGAGACTTTGAGCAACCTGATGTGGTGGAAGGTGTCCCTGCCAGCAGGGTTGGAACTAGATGATCTTTAAAATCTCTTCCAATCCAAACCATTCTATGATTCTATGATTCTATGATTCTATGATTCTATGATTCTATGATCTCCGATTCCATCCTTTTAGTCAATCTGAATAGTCATGCCAGTCAAGAGCAACACGATGGTCTTTCTACCTGTTTCTCCCACATCACTGTGATCACAGTCATCTTTGGACCTTGTATCTGCATCTATACCAGGCCTTTTACCTCCTGCTCCACGGACAAAGCAATCTCACTTCTCTGCACAATTATCACACCTATCTTGAACTGGTGTCCATGACGGTTCCCTTAGTTTCTTAAAACAAAACAAAAAAATGCAGTAGCTGGGTGAGGAGGCATCCATGGTTCCTTGGTTTAAAACAATACATAGAAAGATCCAGTAATTTCCTAGTGAGGTATCTACAGTTATTAAACTTAACAATCCTAACATATACATTATGCTTTCCAGTTTTCTACCTCACTTTTCTACTTGATTAAGTCTTGATTATTTTGTCAAAGTTTTGTAACAGAGTGTGATAGTTTGATGTGTGTGGGGGTGTT